TCAGCTCTGGGAAAGACTCAAAAAGCTTAGGCATTTTCTCTATGATTGGAGTAGGGCTGGTACTACCAACTCGCTTCGGAACATCAAAACTCTCCAAGTAGAGATTGAGCATATCAAATCCATTCACCCCATAAATTGGGAGGAGGTCCAAAACCTTGAATTAGAGCTGAACCGTCAATGGGAAGCTGAAGAGGTGTATTGGCAACAGAAATCAAGGGTTCATTGGCTTAAGAAGGGTGACAAAAACACCTCTTATTTCCATACTGTTACCCGCACGAGGAGGAAGAGGAATTTTGTGGCTGGGTTGTTCAATGAAGATGGGGATTGGATTACTGATGAAAAGGGGAAGGCTGAGATAGCCGGCCAGTTCTATCAAAACCTGTTCACTTCGGACAACCGAGTGCTGAATATGGCTGAGCGAGTGGCGGGCCTCCCCATTGCCCAAAGTGTCACCCCAGAGATGAATGAGATGTTAACGGCGGAAGTCCTGCCTCAAGAGGTCCGCAGAACAGTGTTCGCCATGGGATCTAAGCAGGCTCCTGGATCTGATGGCTTCACGGGGAAATTTTTCAAAGCCTTTTGGGATATTGTTGGTACTTCGGTGGTTGAAGCAGTTTGTTCCTTCTTCGGTACAAGTAGGATGCTTCGCAGTTTCAATCACACTTGGCTAACTCTGATTCCGAAGGTGGATAGTGTGGAGAATATGAAGCAATTGCGTCCGATTAGCCTGTGCCAGTTTGTTTATAAAATAATTACAAAGATCATGACGGCTCGGCTATCTACTATTTTACCTGGGATTGTTTCTGAAGGGCAAAATGCTTTCATTAGAGAAAGACAAATTATTGAAAACATCCTGGTTGGGCATGAATTGATGCATTATTTGAAAATCAAGAAGCAGGGTAAGAAAGGATACATGGCTCTGAAGGTTGATATGGAAAAGGCCTATGATAGAGTTGAATGGCCTTTCTTACTAGCTGTCCTTGAGAAAATGGGTTTCAATTCTGTCTGGATTGGGTGGATCCAGGAATGTCTCCGCTCGACATCCTTTTCGGTCCTAATGAATGGGACCCCCTCGGGGTTTTTTAAGCCCTCCCGTGGCCTGCGACAAGGGGATCCTCTGTCTCCGCTGCTCTTTGTGATCTGTACTGAAGGGTTTGCTGCGCTCCTGCGTCAGGCAATTGCTAATAAGAGACTGGAAGGTGTGAAAGTGGCCCCTAGAGCTCCTCGTATCTCTCATCTATTCTTCGCAGATGATTCTTACTTATTCTTGAGAGGCAATCTCCAGGAGTGTGAAAATCTGATTGAAGTTCTCAATGAATATGAGGAACTTAGTGGTCAGCGAGTCAACTTGGATAAATCGGCAGTCTGTTTCAGTAAAAACATAAATCCTGCTGATCAAGAGTTTCTGGCCGAGATCTTGGGGGTGGGGGCAGTAGGGGTGCATGATAAATATTTGGGTCTCCCGACCCTGATAGCTCGGTCAAAGATGGAGACCTTCCGCTATTTGGAAGAGAAGTTGCTGGAGAAATTACAAGGGTGGAAGCAACGCGCTTTGTCTTGGGCTGCGAAAGAAACGCTGATTAAGTCCATTGCCCTAGCTTTGCCGTTGCATGCTATGTCATGTTTCAGGTTGCCTTTGTCTCTTTGTCGGCTTCTTGATAAGCACGTGGCCAGATTCTGGTGGGGTATGACTGAGGGTCAATCCAAGATTCACTAGATTTCCTGGCGGAATATGTGTAAGAGCAAGCATGACGGGGGCATGGGTTTCCGCCGTTTCGAGCACTTTAACCAGGCCCTGCTAGCAAAAATTGGATGGCGTATCCTTCAGGATCCTGATTCTTTACTTGCCCAAGTTTACAAAGGTAAGTACTTTCCGAGGGGGAACTTCCTTCAAGCTCAGGCTCGTTCGCGGCCGTCTTGGGGTTGGCAAAGTATCCTTTTTGGGAGGCAATTGCTTGAACAGGGTCTGCGTTGGCAGATTGGGGATGGGAAGTCTGCTTCGTTACTTTTCTCAAATTGGATCCCGCAGCTTCATCCTGCGAAACCAATCTTTAACCCTCAAGTGCTGCCTGCTGGAGGTGACCCGGTTGTGGCAGATGTTATGACTCAGGACGGGAATGGGGGGTGGTGCGCCAATAAACTCAGTCAATGGTTTGACCCTCCCACTTGTCGTATGATTCAATCCATCCCTCTTCCTCGGCATGATATCGCGGATAAGCAGATCTGGCATGGTACGTCTGATGGTGTATTCTCTGTCAAATCGGCTTATCATTTGGCGGTGGATCTAGCTCGGAGAGATGGTGGTTGGAGGGATACAGTTAGCTGGATGGATAGGGCCAGCTGGATTAGGCTGTGGGATGCGGATATTCCCCCAAAGTTAAAAGTTTTTATGTGGCAGATTTTTCATCGGATCCTTCCTACTACCGAGGGACTCATTGCTAGGAGTGTTCCAGTCTTACCTCGTTGCCCGGTTTGCTGGGGGGCCTCTGAGACACTGGAACATCTTTTCTTGGACTGTCAAGTGGCTCGGGCTTTATGGGATTATTCAGGGCTGGAACATCTGGGCCAAGCCTTGCCTCGCCATAATTTTCCTCTGTTTCTCAAACAGCTGCTTACCCTCATCCATCAACCGCGTTTGGTCATGGCTGTGGTAGCAGTTCTTTGGAGGATATGGAAATCCCGCAATTGGGTGGTATTCGAAGGGAAGCAGTTTGGGTCTCCGGCTCTGATGCGGCAGTTTCAGCAGCAGTGCGAGGAATGGGAGCGGACTATGTCCGGTAAGATGGTGGTGAGCCCAAGGAGAATGAACAACCAAACCGAGATGGCGGGAGGTTCTTCGCTGGTTTGTATGTGGGATGGGGCTACTCGAGCAGGGTCTCACTCTGCGGGTGGGATGGTGCTCCTGGACAACCATAGAAGAATCCTCTGGGCACAAGGGATCCAGTACCAGTTTATCGATGATCCGTTGGTGGCTGAGGCGCTGATTCTGCGAGATGCTATCTCCTGGTGTGTGGCCAATGGATTTCCGGAAGTTCGCTTTGAAGGGGATTCCAAGATCATTGTGGATAAAATTCATCAGGTGGATGTTCAGGATAGCAGGATAGGGGTGCTTTTAGATGAAATACTGCAGGGTTTGGGAAACCAGTCAGGATTTAGTTTGCGATTCGTTGGACGGAGGAACAATAGGGTAGCCCATGTTGTGGCTAGAAAGGCCCTTGCTTTGTACCCGTCTCTGTGTCGCGCGTTTAATTTTCAGACCTGGCTGTTATCCAGGATGTAACGTTGCCTTTCTTTGATCAATATATGATTATCTTTTGTCAAAAAAAAAAAAAAAAAAAACCCATCAATCCCTTCACATTAGGATTTGACTTATTCAATTGGAGGATTTACATCCATCTTCCTTGCCTATCTGGCTCCCCTTCATTTGCTTGGCGTACATCGCCATAGTTCTGCCTCACGTGTTAAGAAAGTTGAGTAGAGAATTGGCCATTGTTGTCGCAATCAAGCAGTACCGTAGCTGCGAGTTCCGTTGGTGGGTGGTGGGCATACATATAACCTCCGCCATCACCACCACGCACGACCAAGCCTGGTGCTCTACTCTTCTTCTCCGAATCTGCAGCTGCGACCTCATTTCCTCCTCCTTTGTGGCCGGATTCATCGGAGGCGGCAGAAATCCAGAAGAAAATCTCCAGCGCGGAGCCAGATTGAGGAGTTGGCGCTTGCCACCTCTCACTTCCCTCTTCTTCTCCTCTTTGCTTGAGGGATTCGAGACGCTCTGCCCTCCCAACAAGAAAACAGCGGGAAGATGATTCTGAGCCTCTGCCACCATCAGATCTAGGCCTCTGTCGGAGAAAGATGAAGGAAACGATGGCAGTAACGTTTAGTCCCTGCTGTGATGGTTGTGGCGATTATTGAGGCCACCAGGTGAGGCAACATCTTGAGCTGCTTGTTGAAGGGAGGGCAAGAAAAATGAAGAACCAGAGAGAAGATTGCTTTCAAATCTGGAAAGGAAAATGAGATAGATCCTTTTTTTGATTGTGTAGGTTGGTTCATGGGTCAGACCGGTTTAAGGTTTGGGTTGGGTTTGGCAAGATGACATGGCAAGTTTTGATGATGTGGGGGGTCAGATTTCGGGTTAAATTAGACTGACTAGGTGATTTCGTCTGCCAAATCAGCACATAACGATCTCCACTAACGGAGACGGACGGAGACTAACGGAGAGTGATCAAATTTGGATTGTTTAACTAAACCTAGTAACCACTAATGAAATTATATATTTGTAGTGACAAAACAAGAACTTTTTTTTTTTTTTATTCCAGTGACCAACCTTGCAATTTACCTGGTCTGGGGAAAAATTACCAAACTTTTAGCATTCCCTAACGCTTGGCGCCAATGAGTTTCTCATTTATGAATAGAAAAGGGGAGATATCATTTTTCTGTATTTCCTTTCACAAAACCAACAACTCTATAGTTGCCTTCTGCTGTATAAAACCAGCAGGACTTATGTTGTACATGAATCATTAATAGCGTTTAAAATTCATTTAGCAAATTTGTCACAAATGAGGTGGCTTCTATGGACTTTGAGCTTCAGGCCCTCATTCGTGCCAATACTGTCTAGCAAGAAACCTGTCTTTTTCAAATGGGTTTATAACGTAAACCCCCATGGTACCATTGAAAGCTATAGAGCTCTGGATTGGTTTCCAAAGAATTTTGTGTGCTCGAAGGTTAATCTCTTTTTTCATGGAGGCCAAAGAAACATCAAAATATATTTCGGCATTCTATTAAAATCGAATATAGAGTAATGGCTGACTTGACTTGTTAAATTCTGTGCTTCATTACATTTTTGCAGATTTAGGTGTATCGTTTATGTGAGCTTGGAGCCACAATAGATGCTAATTGGTTTACTCCTCAACCGAGTTCGACTACGTTAATCTCATCGTTCGAAAATAAGCTCCGATAGGTCTAGAAGCCGTAGGTCGACCGAGCTAAGAAGAGAAGATGGCAGAAAGAGAAATAATTATGCTGCCCAATCTGCTATTCCTCATAATAATCCTTTGATCTCAATTCTGCCCTGGAACTTGATATATCAGGACTCATGCACCAAGGAAACGATATCAAATATTTAAACGGGCATCTGATGTATCAACTGAAGCCAACAGTATCCAGCTATTTGTGTGCCCCTCAACATATAACAGCAAGGATGAAGCTAAAGCTAGTGAAACCTTTTGTTATGGTGTAACATGTCATCCAAAGCATCTAACTTCAACACTCTCCATGATAGAAGGAAAAACAGATTAAGTAAAGTCACTCATGCTTCAACCATATCAGTTTTTGCTTTGCCGACAAATCTAGGAAGCCTTAAGGTCATCCATGCCAACACTCGCCTGCACCAACAAAATATCCAATCAGCCGAGATTACGAGAAGTTCTGATATACTTGGTAAGTAATAGAGTGGAAGACATTAATCTATCTCGGGTACGAGAAGTTCCTAGCATGCTTAAGCGGTCCAATTTCTTGATTCCTTCTGGACGGGGTACATTCATTTTCTCAAGTGGGGTGATCATATTTGACACTTCACTCACTCCTTGCTCTAAAAGGCAACCATATTCCAGTAACAGTGTATTGGTCATCAATTGTTATGGTAGAAGGAACAAGGGCTCACTAGGTTCTCTATTTATGATATTCTATTTTTTCTATCATTTTGCCTTTCCTGTCTGATGCAGTTCTGAAACGGGGAGGATACAACTGGTTTCATAAAGTAACAGGATTCAGGGTTATGGCAAACAAGACACGGAGACAAAAAAAAAAAAATCATACCAGGAACTTGTGATTCTCTGCAAGGAATGGGGAAAAGGTTGAACAGAAGCTATCTATGTCAGCATTGATGTCACCCTTTCCAGATATCACATCCATGAACTTCTTTCTGTCAGGAGCAAGTTTCATTGCAACCTGCAAGCGATATTCAACATCAACTCTTTGTCCAACCCAAATGAGAAGTATAGAAAGCTACCGTGTTCTATGTGTATAGAAAATCATGAAGATGTAACGATGCACAAGGATGGATGGGATATTGCATAAATGCACTGGTCGGAACATTACCGAGAAACTTGAACTAGCAAGCCAGCCATGGAACTTTTTCAGAGTCTTGCTGTATGAATCTGTACAAGCTTGGCTCATTGTCCAATCTTGATGTGTAAGCAAATTGCGGAACAATTCCACCAAGAAATCCATAGCTCTGCGGGAGATCATAAAAGACAGAGGAGAGAACCATATGAACTTGATGTCAATGTGAAAATAGGCAACTGGCAGTAGATTCACCAACTTGAACTCAAGATTGCTCAAAGACCGAGTATTCGGGTGGGGATCCTCTCTTTAGTTACAATAAAGCTGAAAGAAAAGGAATGGGATCGCATACCTGGTTAACCAAAGTAGACCGTTAGTGCAACTCGATGATCCTTTTGCTGTTTTGGCTTGAACCTCCTCTTGGATCATACTGTATAAGAGCTTGTATTTTGTTGGATCAGATGAATACTTCGTTTCCAACCTCTACAACAAAACACGACAATTATGTTTCAGAATGTACAGACTTCATGATACAAACCCAAAACACTTGTTACTGGAAGCTTACTGAGATGTAGCACGTAAAATCAGAGTGCACATTCTTCGAAAGATCTCATTTTTTCCCCCAAATTTCCAGAGAATATAACAAACATGATTGCATCGGATACACTAGTAGCACAAAGATCTTACCGTGATATTGCCGCCAATATCAGATTTCACAATCGCCAAAGCAGCTCCAAACTTATCTGGCAAAATCAGAAGCCGAAAAACACCAACATGAGCAGTTCTATCTATGAGCTATCAAACCCACGAAACACATTCGCCAATCTCCCCAATTTCACAACCCTTCCCGAGGAACTGACCGATCACGGGGAGGATCAATTTGCAGACATCCAGAAAGGGCTTGGTGAGCATTTCCCCTTGCTCCGACTTGACATGCTTCATCCCTTCCAGTGACGGAGCGAACACCGATCCTTCTCCAGCCATCTCACTAACCCTGCATTACCAATCAAGAGAAACTCCATAATCAACCCAGTTGCCGTCCGATCAGCGAGAGACATCGAAAGAAAGAGATCCGTACAGGAATTGGTATCAGAAGGGGATGAAGTTGTAGAAGATAGAAATTGGGAAGCAGCGAAAGATGGGGAAGGAGCTGATCGATTCGATTTGGGGAGAGATTGAAGAGTGGGAGGTGGTGGTGGAGTGGAGGGGTTAAACGAGGGAGTGAGAATCCGATTCGATTTGGTGGGCGGATGATGCCATTTCTCTCTTTATGTTTCTCTCCCCGTTTGTCACGATACCTCGAGCTAAGGGAGTGGCGAAAGTAGAGGGAGAAGACGAAGACGGAGACGTCGGTGGTGGGAGGTGATGGAATAACCACCGTCAGCCACGGCGTGCGTCGAGGGTGGATGGGCCGTGGGATTGAAATTGGCGGGCGCGCGATTTGGGGATGGACGACTTGAGGAGGGTGGAGAGAGAGATGCGGAGCCCGAGAATCCACTGTTCTTTTCCCGTCAGTCAGCAGATTCCCACTTATGTGAATTTCATTTCTTCACTAGTAGGGCTGGAACTTTACCGCCGGTATGATATTCATATAGGGGTTGTTTTTTTTTTATCGAGAGAACGTTCATTCATTACCAAAAGAAGTGGTTACAAAAGTCTCAGGAAACAACAAGGACGGGGAAATGAGATTTAGGATAACAATCCAGTTCTGAGGGAGCTCATCCCGCGCAAGCGTTCATGCCACCCAATCCGCTCGCGCATTGAGCTTCCTTGGGAAAAAAGAAACCTTGATTAGAGGGTTCTTAAGAAGGATGTCAACCATGATCCCCAACTATGTAGCGATTCTCCAAGACCAAGACTCTGGCGGAGCTTAAAGGGCCAGAACCAAGGGAAGACAGTCGGACCGGATCTAGCACAGAATCGCTCGGTTGCACGCCAACAAGAGAGCTTCCAAGACAGCTTTTGCTTCCACTTCCAAAGGTGAAGAACAAACAAGCGTGTCTGCCCTCCCGTCGCAGATATCTCCATGGTCATCAAAAACAATAACGCCATATGCCGCCTTCTGGGAATCATTTAAAAATGATCCATCACAGTGAATCTCCAACACGGGATTACTCGGCGGTGGTGAAATCTAGTTCAGGGTGTTGATGGGCTGACACGGGGGTAAAACAGTGTCCCTAGGTAGCTTAAGGCGGGAGGTCCAAGAGAAGCAATCATTAACCGCCTTGGTGCTGGTGGAGGGTGGCCAAGGGGCAGCTTTACGAAAGACCTTCTCATTCCTAGCTTTCCAAATGTTCCACAAAAGGAAGACAACCTGTTGGACTGAACTCATAGGATAATGGTTCTTCAAGTCGAACAGCCAATCAAGAATGCCAACCAAAGGTGGGGGTGCCGGGAGACTCGGGAAGAGGTGGTCCCACGAATCTGTCGCGTGCTTGCACTCAAACAAGCAATGGTGGATGGTTTCATCCCTAGAGAAACAAACCTGACAAACAGGGGTTGGGGAGCAGCTCCGATAGTGTAGATTTCTTTTGGTAGCCAATGCACCTCTGGCACATCTCCAAAGGAAGAAACGCATCTTCGGAGGGAGAGACAGGCTCCATAGCCATTTCCATTTCTACTTCTCCTTCTCCGTCATGTGCATGAGATTCAAACTGTCTGACACTCCGCTCTTGATGTCTTGGAAAAAATGATAGGCAGAACTAACAGTAAAGTTCCCTCTTGGTGTGAATCTCCACACCCAAAAGTCATCCATATCCTCTCTTCCAATAGGGATATGTTTGACCAACACCTCTTGGTTGGGTTTGATCACCTCCCTGATGGTGGTCTCATTCCACTACTTGTTAAGAGGGTCAATCATGTCCACCACTCTCAAATGGTCATTTCCAGAATCGATGAGCTTTCCTCCATGGAGGTCAGGGATCCATGGGTCATGGAACACCCTCGTGTTCCTACCATTGCAAATGATGCGCACAATCCCTTTTTCCAGGAGCTTTCTCACCTCCCACATGCTTGACCAAATCCAAGAAGCCTTGGAGCCTTTGCGAGCATTCAGAAAGTCAGTAGAAGGGAAATAGAGCCCCTTGAGGAGTCAAGCCCACAGAGCATTCAGCTCAATGATCAGACGCCAAGCTTGCTTTGCTAACAAGGCCAGGTTGAACTCTTTGAAAGAGCGGAAACCAAGTCATCCTTCCTCTTTTGGAGCACAAAGACGATCACCATGACACCAGTGAATGGACTTCTTCAACATGGATCTTGACCAAAAGAATCTCCTAAGCATGGAGTCCATCTTTTGAGAGTTGAACCAGGTAGGAGGAAAAGGCACATGATGAAAGTAGGGATTGCCTGAAACACCGCTTTGAGAAGTATTTCCTTTCCTCCAGGCGATAGGAGGAGGCTCTTTCAATAGTCACCTTTCTTCTCCATCCTACTGATCAAGAAAGCAAAGGTTTCTTTTTTTGAACGTCCCCACTTCGTTGGGACTCCAAGATACTGGGAGTGGCAATTTGTGGGTGCAAAACCAATGTTGTTGATGATGTCCTCTTTTTCACTCATAGGGACATTTGAGCTAAAGAAGACTGACGATTTAGATCCATTAACTTCTTGTCCCGTAACCGCTCCATACTCTTCAATAATTCCCATAATTCTGGTGGCTTCCTCCATTGTCGCCTTTCCAAAGATAATTGTGTCATCAGCAAAGAGACAATGAGTGAGGATTGGACAATTTCTATTCAGCTTGAGGCCTTTAATCTTATTCAGAGTGACAACTCTCTCAATAAGGTAGGACAAGGCATTAGACATAAGGATAAAAAGCAAAGGGGAAAGGGGGTCTCCTTACCGAATCCCACCTTCCGGAAAGAACTCTGGTGTAGCTTCTCCATTGAACAGGATAGAGAACCTCATTGATGTGATACACTCTTTGATCAAGCCCACCCATGTTGGACTGAATTCATAACACGTGAGGAGCTTGACCAAGCAATCCAGTCCACCAGATCATAAGCTTTCCTCATTTCCAACTTCAGCATCATATCCCTCTGGTTGCCAGTCTTGTGCTTCTTAAAGTGGTTAAGAACTTCATGGACAATAATAATGTTGTCATGTATTTGGCGCCCTCCTGTGAAGGCTGTTTGGAGCTCATAAACCAGTATTGGAAGCCATTTCTGAAGCCTAGTCGTCATGATTTCGTCACCACTTTTGTATCTGAAATTGCAGCAACTGATGGGGCGAATCTGGCTGATCAGTTCCGGTGAGTCAACCTTGGGAACAAGAATGATGTGTGTCCAGTTCCAACCCTTTGGGAGCTTTGCCATGGCAAAGAAGCTTTTTACTTCCTGGCAGAAATCCTCGCCTACTGTAGGCCAAAATTTCCTAAAAAAATGGCCCGGGAAGCCATCATGGCCAGGAGCCTTGGATGCACCCAAACTGAAAACTGCCTTGCGGATCTCCTCATTGCCAACTAGTGCACAAAGATCATCATTCATTTCTTGAGAAACCATGGACGGGAAGTTGTCTAGTGTGTTCGCCATCTGCTGGTTATCCCGTGCCTTGAAAAGGGTCTGGTAGAAAAGTAATGGTGCTGCTTGAGCTGTGCTTCATCCTCTATCCACACATCATCTGAGTCTTTGAGGCGTAAGATTTTGTTGGAGTTTCTCCGTTGAACGGTGCTGGCATGGATTGAGCATTTGGGGAATGATACTAAAAAGGTGTGATTGTCTTCGTTCGGGGACTCTTGATTGACTATATTGATGATCTGTTAATAGTTGAGCCGAAAGTGGTTATTGATAAAGTCAACCGGTCCGGTAAGCAAGATAATCTCTGTGAAGCGATTTCGGAAGAAGTTCGTTAGTGGCTAGAAAGGTCATTTCTTTGTACCTAACTACGTGTCGTTATTTTGATTTCCTTTTCTTGTTACTACTAGAGTGTAATTTGTGAGATCTCTTATTAATCAATACAAGATTAACTTTTGTAAAAAGAGAACCTTTTTCCATAGGATAGTTGTTCGCTTTAGAGCTAGATCCTCATAAATTTTGTCTTGGGGTACATATCAAAGTGGCTTATCATAAGGTCACTCATCTTTGCTGAGCACGTATAACTTCAGAGTTATTGAACTCACAAGAACTCCTTCATTTCACCCCAAGAAGCGTCTTGTCCGTAAAGGTCAGTTTCTTACTTATGAACCATGGATCTCTCCCGTACTTTCTCGATGTGAGATTCGTCTAGCGTATTACAATACTTTATAGTTATTTTAAAAAATAATAGTGTGTTTGTCGAGCTAGCAGGAAAGGAGGATATTGCATGCAAGACTAGCGATAAACACTATGTCGTTTCTCTGACAGGGGACATACTTATGTCACTTACATTTTGATGACGTGACCATGTTACTTTCGTTGCAGATTGTTGTTGCTAAGGTAAGATTTTTAGTATGTTATGTCCCTTTTGTGTTAGGCGATATAAGAAGATTGACTTCCTAGGAGACGATATAGTGTCAGCCAAATCCAGAAAAACATCATACCCGTTGCAGATTGTTGTTGCTAAGGTAAGATTTTAGTATGTTATGTCCCTTTCCATGGCTTCTATCTCGCTAAGTTCTACCTCCCACTCAATTACCATAAAGAACAGCAAAAGGCAACGCGTAGAACAACGCGGCCTCACCAGGACCACACAAATGTAGCAAGGTCACCAACGGAACAGCCAATCAGATGTCTCATCATAGTCGAAAGAGAACCACAACTTCAGAATTGAACCAGAGACCACCATACACCTTCACACACCAAAGCCAAATCCGAGTTGAAATAGTACATATGAGTCTGATGTATAGTGAAAGCTCTCTTGCTGCACAGGAATCGCCTCCGCAGGGGGTTTTCTTTTTTTGAATTATGCTTTACCACCGCTTCTACTCCCTGCATTTACAACACTTTTGCTTCTTGCACTATAGTTTATGTTAATTTGTTTAATTTTCTTGTTCTTAGTTTAGTATGATTCAAAATTAGGGGCACTTCAACTCTATTTGATTTATAAAATGCAACTAGGCCCTACCAAAGTAGAGACATTGCAAGAGGCCCTATGAAATAGTCTATGACTATTGTAGAATTAAAATAATTTATTTTGAGGCCATACTACACACCCATCAGACTCTTAAGCTTCCAAGCTAGGGGACTTCTTCTCACATTCATTATACATGGTCTTCTCTAAAAAAAATATATGTCTCTATAATCTCTCTACATTATTTCACATAGATCATCCTTATATTATACTAATTTTGACGCCAAAATGTAGATTACGGGGCAATCCCCCGTCTCCATGTGACTTTCATCTACACACTAGAAGATCGACACATAGGAATATGAATCATAGCCCCAACTTTAGAGAGAATGCAACTTATTTAGAGGAAATAATAGTAGCAGCGGAGGAGTTAGGTCGAAGGTAGCCTCTATCAACTTAAAAATATAGGTAGAATTAAGTATAAAGATATAAGATAAAATAGTCATTAGGATTTGAGTCCTCATTTTATTTATGGACAATTTGAGTCATCTTTTCCCAATTAACATAGTTCAGATCTCTTAACTTTTATTTTTAACCCCTTGTTCAGATTTCTAATTCTTAATCCGCCTATTTCCCATTCACTTTTAATTATCTTATCCAATCTGATCAACCTTTCAATGAATTTCCACATCAAATATCAACGACTCTGGAATGAAACTCCATCAGCTTACTCGACTATTAGGTTAGGTGAAGCCACCGGACTAAATCTCACATATAAAATCAGTTTGTCTCTAACCAAACGAGCGGCAGTACATTTCCTTGTTTGGTGCTCTCCCAAACGCCACTGGCCAGCCTCGAACGAGAGCTCTGCTAAACAACAACGAGTATTCCCAAAGCCCACCATGCAAATCGCTTACTGTGGGTTATACGGTACGGTCCAACTAAAGAGCCCAATTCTAAATATTCTTGAGCCCAACCTAAAAGATTTGAGTGGGCCAAAAAATACGAGCCCGGATATCCCTCAATCGCCAGTATCTCCCCAACCCAGGACCCCTTATAATAACTCTGCCCTCCAATCCTCTAAACCCTAATTTCCCCAACCACTGCGCCTCTCCTTTTCGACTGCCGGCCGTCGTCTCTGTTTCACAGTCACACACCTCACCGGACCGCACAGATGGTAAGCTTCTCTCCGGATTTGTTCCGTTAATCCTCTAAACTCATTTCCTACTCTACTTAATGGGGATATTTTCTATTGCAGGGCTTCAAAAGATATGTCGAGATCGGGAGGGTGGCTCTGATCAACTACGGAAAGGACTATGGCAAGCTCGTCGTCATCGTCGATGTCGTCGACCAGAACAGGGTGAGTTATTCCGATCCCAATGTGCGTGCTTATGTTTGTAGAACCATTTTCGGCCTCCTAGCTTATTCTGTAGATTCGTCTTTTGAGCTGAATGGTAGAAAGTTTCTTCTCCTTAGAGGATGCTATTATTTAGATGGTTCGGTTGATTTGTTGCTCCGATATCGAGTTCTAGATGCTAGAGTCAGTGCTCGGGTAGTAATCTGTTCACGAGAACTGATTAGTTTTACACACAGTTAGTAATCGTTCATGGCTTGGTGGCCTGGTATCTGTTTTATTTTTCAGTCTCTAGGAATCCTAGGAACTTCGAGTTTCAGGAATTAGGGCTCCTTCCTGTAGCTTTGTTTGTCCCTTGATGGCCCCTGAACTTGTTATTCATAGCTGTAGAAGTCATGCAGCAGTTTTTGGGCTTCTAATTTGTTTTTACTACAGGCACTAGTTGATTCCCCAGATATGGTTAGGAGCCAAATCAACTTCAAGAGGCTTACCCTCACTGATATCAAGATTGAGATTAACAGAACTCCCAAGAAGAAGACTCTTATTGAAGCCATGGAGAAGGCTGGTAGGTTAACTTATGCTTTTATGTAACAAGAACTTTGAAAGTGCTCTCATGTATTGTTTACTCCACAACACCTGTTGATTGTGAATTTTTGGTGTGGTAGATGTTAAGGGCAAGTGGGAGAACAGCTCATGGGGTCGCAAATTGATCGTTAAGCAGAGAAGGGCTGCCCTTACTGACTTCGATAGGTTCAAATTGATGTTGGCCAAGATCAAGGTTTGCGATACTGTAACTCTTTCATGAGTTGGTTTATTTGGCCAAGTGTTTTATTTGATTGGAAGAATGTGCTTTCTTATCTGAGTCTTCTACCATTGGTAATATGCAGAGAGGAGGATTGGTCAGGCAAGAGCTCGCCAAGCTGAAGAAGGAGACTGCTGCTTAGAACCACCCTACTATTTTCGCAATTTTGTTGTTGGTCGTCTGCAAGAGTTGTTCAGTGTGGATGTTGTTTGGTTTTCTGTTCTGTTCTGGAGATATACATTAAGCAGCTGAAGGAATTTTCTTCTGATATGACATGAGACCCATTTTGTAGAAACTAAGAGTGAAATATGACTTTGGCTCTTGTTAAGGTTATTCACATCACTTTCTGTTCCGTCCACCCTCTTGCTACCTGCTGTTGCTCAAATGCCTAGGATCTTACTGTCTAGGGCAAGATGTGATTTTCCTGAAGTAGAGATAAGGCATTTTCCCAACTTGTCCTTGCTATTTCACCATTATATCAGGGGTTCTGCTTAAGCCGTTAAGCGTGTGATTAAGGCTGTAGGTTTGGTTGCTGCTTAGTTGATGACTGTTCATGGAGGTCATAAGGGTACCTTGGAGGTCAAGGCGTCAAGCAACAATATACACACTAAGGCCCTGTTCACTTTCATTTTCGTTTCCTGTTTTCTGTTTTCATGTCATAAATTTGGCAACCGAAATGAGAAAACTGGTTTACTTTTCATTCCGTTTTCTATTCGTTTCCAACTATGAAAACAGAAAGTGGCAACTTCCTGCTATTTTTGGAAACGAAAAAATGTTGTTTTCACCTGTTTTCAACATCTGTTTTCTCAAAAACAGGAAACAGAAATGAAAGTAAACAGGCCCTAAGATGCTCCTTAAACCTGCATTCCACGCTATCTAAAGTTCGATTAAGGGCAGCTCCACAAAGTGTTAGCATTGTGAGTGGAGCAACGAAAGGTTGAATACGAGGTGAAAGGTGGATTTTCAGATTATGGCAGACTAATGCATTTCCTATATCTAAGGCCAACTTCAACACAAGTCCCCAAATTAGGGTATCATCCCCAATTTTTTTTCATTTACTTAAAAATGTATCATGGAAGCCTTAATATAATTTCTTTGTGTTAATTTTTTATAGTTCGTCATAATTTTTAAATAGAATTTTTTAAATTCCGACACGAAATTTTTTTTTGACAAAAAACAATTGACCTAATTTGGATTTACATTTTCAAATGATAAAGCTGAAGGAGTTCACATAATAGTTCAAATAATAAACAAAATATCATCTTAAAACAACCATTAATTTCACAATTAACCCAAAATTTAACCTCAAATTATCCCCAAATTTAACCCCAAACAACCATTAATTTATAAAAACAAAAAAAGGGGGCTGGGCATTCCCGGAAATCGCCAAAACGTTCTCCAAAAATAGCGATTCATTTACCGATTTTCGTCAAAAATGACATCGATCCCCAAATAAAAAGTTCCGCTTAAAATAGGAATTCCCCATATTACAAATTTCTCCATATTTGCCGAACTCATTGGACTCAGCCTAAGTAGCTTATGAGTTATGACAACTGTTCCTCCAGATTCCTATATCTCAATAGAAATTGTGCAACCAATTCTTTCAACGTGACATCTTGTTCTACAAGCATCCACTTCCCAGGTATCGCTTCCGGCATAGCCTGAATACCCACAATCCATGGAATGCCGTCTCGCTCATCGACCAGCATTATAAAATTAACTTACTCTGTTATCTGCTCCAGAGAATCAATCACCTGGTCCTAGTAGGAGTGAGCTGGGCTGTAAATACAAATACAAGCTGCAAGAACACCAGCAACTTTACGGCCACATCCAGCAACAGATTGAAAATGATTCAGACGCTCAAGAACACCAACTCCCCAAAATTCAACAGAATAGAGCAGATACCAATTCCCTGGTAAACTACAAGAGTACGGAATAATAATATGCATCTCACTGCAGAACTGCAGGGCTGTAAATACAAATACAAGCTGCAAGCTTCTACACAGAAAAAAGATGCCAGTTTCAGTGAAACTACAGAAACCCCCTGTTAACACTTCATTCACACGAGAGTTGCTGCTCCTCGCCTCACAGGGTATACCAGCTGTATGAGCAGAATGGTTCAGATAATTTTCAAGGTACCATTGCACTGGCATCATCTTCTTCACCTGCTACCGGCGCTTCATTGAACATGTACTCATTCTGATACTCCATCAAGTACTGTGCTGATCTCTTCACGTCCAGAAACAGATTGTAAACTCTGGTGATGTCTTCACTCTCCACGAGCTTTCCCTTCCGCTTCAGGCATGCTAATGCCGCTGCAGTAATGAGGTGGATGGCATATCTTAACGACGTTTCTCCGCCAATATGGGTTAGCAGTGCCTTTGCTTCCTCAGACATATCCACTTCTTCTTCTTGGCACCTAATATCCAGTATCTTGCGGATTTCGTCTTTCGAGTAAGGTTGGGTGGTGATAATAAGCAGGCGGTCGAGTAGATCTATGGGAATTCCATGAGGAGATTTGTAGTTTGTGCCTCTGATTGTGGTGATCCCTCTGTTGGTGGCAACAACTAGTATGGGAGACATCTCGTTCTCGAGAGCACGGTTTAAGAAAGAGAAGCACTCGATATCGAGCATGTGAACTTCATCTATGAACAGGACACCAGGCACAATCTCTGCTTTGCCTTCCTCTCTCCATTCTGCCACCTTAGTGTCGATTTGCTCCCTGACCTCAGCACGAATTTCGCCAGTGTCACCAGTGAACAGCGCTAGAAATCCCTGTGTTCTGCAAGTACAAAATGCACAATGTAAAACCAAGCAGAACAAGGCCAGGTAGAACATGTCCATGAACACAAAACCAACACCCAAAGAGTTCCATTTGCATGTGACACGGTGCTCTTGGATATCATAAACATCAGATTTATATGCACAAATCAAAAGCACATCAACCAAAGCTGACTAGTCCTCTTTGATTATGAAACACACACAACGTGAGTTAAACAATCATGAACCATGAACAACCATTTGAAGCTGAAATTAAGACAATGGGTTTTCTATATTCTAAAAACCAATATCAGTGTCTCATAGACAGACTTGCAGTAATCAGCACACTCCATCCAAAGGTTCAGCCTTCATACAAGCCTTCTTGGGCAGAAATTTTACCAGTCATAAATTACAAAAGTTTCTATCCAGGAAACTAGAGAAATCTAAATGCTGAGCTCTCCCTCTTCGGTTACTAACAATAAACACCCCTAAAGCTCAAACAGTAGCTCCAAATTCAGAAGCAAAATCCATAATTTCTAGACATATAAATCATTCTCAGAGTAGAAAAGTTGGGAGCTTTACCTGCTATTAATGACATCAATCTCGTGGAGGGTAACACAATGCACAACCTCTTTCCTCTTCTGAAGCTCGCCATCGGGGCACTGAACAAACTTCACCTGCGGCCCCATAGCATCATAGTCTCTCGACCTCGCGAAGGACCTCCCAAGCTTGGTGATTTTCCCAGACGCTTTGTCAATGGCAATAACATCCCCACTCTGCACTTTCTCCTTCCCTAGCGCCTCAATCATCTTCGCCCCTAGGTCATACACAGTCTCCATCTCCGTCGTCTTCAGTGTCAACTTCCCGGTCTTGGACGCCGCTCCGGCCACCGCAGGCCTGTCAATTTGAACTTCAACCACTTCGCCCTCTATAATCTCCGTCTCCTCCTTGATTCTCACCCCAATCGCTTTCCGTAGGGCTTGCATCAGGGCTTCTGTCTTGGACATCTCGAGGGAGAAGATTTCGCTGCCGGAAATCATGGCAAATGGGGTCTCGAGACCTAGGGATTTCGCCATCCCCATTGCGATTGCTGTTTTCCCCGTCCCCGGCTGGCCGGCGATGAGGACTGCTCTCCCGGCGATTTTCCCGTCCTTGATCATCTGGAGGATGACGCCGGCGGCTTTGCGGGCGGAGGTTTGGCCCACCATGCCTTCGGAGACAGCCCGGGCCTCGAGAGCGGAGTCGAGGCCGAGGCCCCGGATGTGGGAGTGAGCACCTATGCGCTCTACTCGGGTCAGGTCCCGGGTCTCGGAAGATAGCCTAACCTCCGCCATCGACCGTGATGCTGAGGAAGAAGGAAAGGAGACGAAGGAAAGCTACAGTAGGAAGACAGATTTATGAGATTAGGGTTTAGGGTTTTGTAACTTCTTCTCTTCAACTCTGCTACTCAGCCCGCCAGCTTCAACCTCACTTGAAGTTCTCGAAAGTTTATTACTTTATTTTCCGTTCTAATGGAGGGATAGTTTGGTGGACACTGTAATATAAATGGAAGCTCTCTCTAAGACCAACTCCAATGCAAGCCCCCAAATTTGGGGATCTTCATCCCCATTTTCCCTTCTTTTGCTCCAATGCTACATCTTCTATATTTGGAGATCTTTATTTTTTAAGTTTTTCATTTACTTAAAAATGTAGTTATCGAAGCCTTAATATAATTTGTTCGTGTTAATTTTTGTATAGTTCTTCTTCATTTTTAAATACAAATTTTCCGGTAAATTTTTTTTTAATTTTGAGACCAAATTTTTGTTGACAAAAAATGATTGACCTAATTTGGGTTTACACAAACCACTTGAAAATTATTGATCTAATTAAACCCCTAACTAATCCCCTAATTAACCCTTAAAATCTTAAAAAGAAAAAGAAACGCCACGTGGCGGGCTTTGGGGAGTCTCTATATTTGGGGGAACCCCCATTTCCACCCCCAAATTTGGGGATCCTTTTGGAGATCTCCCCCAAATATAGAGACTCCTCCATTTATAGATGCTTCATTGGAGTCAACTTTCCCTCAAATATAGAGGCTCCCTCATTTATAGAGGCTCCATTGAAGTTAGCCTAAGCTTAAAATCCAGCTTAAGAGTCAAAAAATACACTTGGACAAAAGCAACACATCCTCTTTACATAAAAAACAAGGAAACAAGGTGAAATCTAGACAAAAAGGATAGAAAAATCTTCACCTTGTACTCGTGAGGTGAATTGAAGATTCCCACAGTTTAGACTGCTCCTCAAAACACCTTTTGCATCTCTCTTTTAATAGATAGGAAATACACCAACACCATACGGTCACCGCCGCACTTCCATTGCTACCTCCCTTCCTAGAGTTGTTGCAAATTTGAACCATCACGGAAAAAATTCAAAAGTACGACTGTTTAAAAAAAAAATTCAAAAATACCACCCAACCCCAAAGAATTCCAAAAATATCATCCTTTTTCAAAAATCGTCATCCCACCCTGCGGTTTATACGAAAACCACTTGTCGGGGGCGCGGTTTTCTATGCAAACTGCGGGCCTAGGGGACGGTTATAAAAATTTTTTTGGACCAAACCGCTGGGTGGGGTGGCGGTTTGGCCCCAAAACCGCCACCCCACCCAGCGGTTTGGTCCAAATTTATTTTTATTTTTTTCGATCAACTCCTAACTTCGGCCGAAACTTCAAACGAACGTAACTTTGCACTCGGGTATACGATCGTAGCGATTTTTTTTTGCATTTCGCATAAATTTTCAAGATCTACAACTTTTACTAGGATGAAATTTTCAAAAC